TGTTGTTATGTGCCGTCGAGTCGTTTGCGACTCATAGCGACCCTATGTACGACAGCCCTAAACCCTGCTCTATCCTGTGCCAATCACATTGCCTCTGACACACCCATCCCGAGTACCCCAGTCACTGAATCAATCCACCTCATAGAGGGTCTTCCCATCCTGCGCTGTCCCTCCACTCTACCCAGCATGATGTCCCTCTCTAAAGACCTGTCTGTCCTTAAAACATGTCCAAAGTATGTCAGACGAAGCCCCAGAATCCTTGCCTCCAAGGAGCAGCCTGGTTTAACCCTCTCTAGGATGAATCTGTTTAGCCTCCTTAATAACATATTTGAAGTATCTGAGGTGAAGCCTCATCATCCTTGCCTCCAAAAAGTGCTCCAGCTGCACCCTCTCCAAGACATAGCTGTTTGTTCCTTTGGCCATCCATGGGGTGTTCAGTTTTCTTCTCCAGCACTACAACTGGAAGCCATCAATTCTTCTGTCATTCCTATTCATTGTCTAGCTCTCAGATGCATAGTAAGTGATCAGAAAAACCATGGCCTGAATCAGACACACTTTAGTCCTCAAACTGACATCTTTACTTCTCAATAATTTGGAGAGGTCCCTAATGGCAGGCTTCCCCAATGCAATATCTCTCCTGATTTCCTGACTGCTAGTACCAAGGGTGTTAGTTGTGGATCTAAGTAAGATGTAGATGTTGGCAGTTTCAATCTTTCCTCCATCCACCATGATGTTGCCTATTGGTCCAGTGGTAAGAATCTTTGTTTTCTTGACATTGAGATGCAATCCATATTGAAGGCTGCATTCTTTGATCTTCTGCAATAAGTGCTTCAAGTCCTCCTCACTTTCAGCAAGCAAGGTGTGTCATCTGCATAATGCAGGTTATTGATGAGTTTCTCTCCGGTTATTATGCCACATTTCTTTTCATAAAGTCTTTCTTCTTGGGTAATTTGTTCAGTGTACAGATTGAATAGGTATGGAGAGAAAATACAACCCTGGCACACTCCCTTCTTAATTTTAAACCGTGTAGTGTTTTCTTGCCCTGTTTGCACAGCAGGTATAGATTCCACAACAGCACAATCAAGTGCTCTGGGATTCCCATTCTTCTCAATGTCAGCCACTACTTGTTATGATCCACACAGTCAAATGCCTTTGTATAAAGCACAAATAGACAGTATTCTGGTATTCTCTTCTTTCAGCCAGGATCCGTCTGACATCAGCTATAGCCCTGGTGCCACAACCTCTACTAGTCAAATCTGTTACCATAGACTTCTTTAAAGTGCTAAGAATATCACCTTACAAAACAATTATATAATCTCATCCCAGTAAGAATAGCAAAATTTAACAGAATAACAAACATCAAATGCTGGCGAGGTTGTGGAGAAACTGGAACCCTTATTCACTCTTGGTGGGAGCATAAAATGGTGCAACCTATGGAAGGCTGTATGGCGCTTTCTCAAAAAGTTGCAACTAGAAATACCATTTGACTCGGCAATTCCATTACTGGGAATTTACCCTAAAGAAACCAGAACTGCCACCCAAGCAGATATATCCACACCCTGTTTATTGCGACTTTGTTTGCAGTAGCAAAGAGCTGGAAACAACCCAAATGCCCATCAACGAACGAATGGTTAGAGAAGCTCTGGTATATTCACACAATGGAATATTTTGCTGCGTTGAAAAATAAGGAACTTATGAAATATTATGCAAAATGGATGACGCTGGAGGACATTATCCTGAGTGAAATATCTCAGTCATAAAAGGACAAATATTGCATAGGGCCACTGTTATAAAATGCAACCGACATCAGGGTTGAGGAAAGACAGAAAAGTAGGGGAGGAATGATGTGTATTGCATTGAAACAGATGAGGGAGAGATGTTTAAAAGGAATATATGAAAGGAATATATGAACTTCTCTTGTCATTACAGAAGTTCAGAGTGAAGGCTGCATAGTGGAGTGGACTTGGGGGGAGGGATTGCATAACAAAGAAAGAGTTTTTCTTTTCAAGGAGAAGAGTGATTTTGCGGGGAGGGGGTGGGCAGGGAGAAAAGTGCAACCATGAATGACTGGAAAACATAAGTCTCTGGAAACTTTCATGACAAGTAATTAAAACAAAATAAAACAAAACAAACAAAAGAACATCACTTTAAAGAGTCAAGCTATGTTGTTTCCAATGGCATGGCTTCACATGTGTGTGAAAAATTGGATAATAAATGAGAATGACAAAAAGAAGAAAAAAATGGTGCCTTTGAATGTGTTGATGAGAAATAATTGAACGTACACTATGGACTGCTGAAACAACGCAGGAGCTCTGGTGGTGCAGTGTGTAATTTATAGGACAGCAGCTCAGGTCCACTCAGAGAGAAAGTAAACAGATTTACAGCCTAAGAAGCGCATTGAGGGTTGCTGAGTTTGAGGGTCAAAAGAATAATCAAATTTGTCTTGATAGAAATGCAGCCAGGGTGCTCCTTAGAAGCAAGGATATTCAACAGTGAAGAAATATTTTTAAGTGAATTGGTAAAGGCGGTAGGAGGAAAATGTGCAACAATGAATGAATGAAAACCCAACTTTTCTGTAAATTTTTACTAAAATCACAATTTTTAAAATTGAGGTGGAAAAAAAAGCAAGGATCATGAGTATTTGTCTCAGATACTTTGGGCACGTTATTGGGATGAAGGACGCCATGTTTAGAAAAGTAGCTGTTCTCATCAACAAACGAATGGATAGAGAAGTTGTGGTATATATCCACACAATGGAACACTATGCAGCATTGGAAAACAAGGAACTCACGAAATATTATTCAAAATGAGTGGCCCTGGAGGACATTATGCTGCGTGAAAAAGTCACAAAAGGACCAATACTGCATAATACCACTGTTACAAAACTGCATTGAAACAGATGAGAGAGAGAACTGTTTAAAAGGAATATATGTTTATGTATTATTTGCATGATTAAAGCTGTATAGTAAGGTGGACTGGGGTATGTGGGGGGAATTGTATAATAAGGAATGATTGGGGGGTTTGGCAGGGAGGAAAATGTGCAACAATGAATGAATGGGGGGAAAAGGAAATATATAAAAAAAGAAAAGTATTTGTTATATGCTATCAAGTTAGGCAAACCTATGAACAGCAGAGCTGAACCCTTCTATCATGTGCCATCCTCATCATCTCTGACACACTGGAGCCCATTACTGTTGTCACTGTGTCTATCCATCTCATTGATGGTCTTCCTTTTTCACTGACATTTCCTTTCTTAGTGGATGTCCCTTCCCAAGGAATACCCTCTTCTACAACATGTCCACAGTATATGAGACAAAACTTTATCCTCTTTGCCTCTAAGGAGCACTCTGGCTTCATCTTCTCCAAGATGTATCTGTTCTCCTGGCAGTTCATAAGATATTCAGCACTCTTCTCCAACACCACAACTCAGGAGGCATCAATTTTCCTTCTGTCATCCTTATTCATTGTGCAGCTCTCAGATGCATAGCAAGTGATTGAAAAGATTATAGCCTGAGTCATACACACACTTTAGTCTTCAAACTGACATCGTTGCTCCTCTGTACTTTGGAGAGGTCTCTTGACAACAGACTTTCCCAATGCAATGTCTTATGACTTTTGACGGCTGGTATAAACGACTGTGATTGTGGATAGAAGTAAAATGAAGCAATTTACTATTTCAATTCCTTCTCCATCTATCATGTTACCTATTGTGCCCAGTGGTGGATTTTTGTCTTCTTGATGTTGAGATGTAATCCGTATCGAAGGCTGTAGTCTTTGATCAGAGGACGCCTTTCCAGTCCACAGCCCTAACTCAACCACTGGCCTAATGGGCCAAGTCGGGCGGCGCCTTTCTATAACATTCTCTTAACTGTACGGGATCAAGGCTCAACCGTTTTTTTTTTCAATTTTATTTTATTTCATTATTTTTTGCGTGTACCATCAAATCAGATCTGACTGGTACAGGAGGAGATTGTTCCTCCTTCTCCAGCAGAGCATCTGGTGGATTTGAACCATGTACCTCTGAGATTGCAATGCAGCTTCTTGCCACTAGGCCACCAGAGCTCGCCAAGGCTCAACTTTTATACCGTAAACGCAGACACCAGACCCTTTGACGGCGCTGCCGGCTGCAGGAGGTCCAGTTACACCTACATCCGCAGTCAGGACCCCTACTTCCGGCGCCTTCGTCGCAGACTGTGGCCGGAAGCTGCCGTCCGCCATCTTTGGTGTGCCTTCCTTCCCCCCCCCCCCCTCCTATAAACTTTATTTTGAAGCTCTGGTGGCCTGCGGGCATACGGAATTACACTGCCAACGCAAAATTGCCCCTTGTCTATAATTTTGAATCCACTAGATGCCTTGCGAGAGAAAAATGGGCGATCTCCTCCTGTAGTACTTATTGCTACCGAAGACCCGCCCTTTCGACTCCAAGGCAATGAGGCTGTCTTCTGAGTCTGCTTTAAGTATGCATGGATTCATGCAAATATTACGAAAGACTTTAAAGTCTTGTTTTTCAACTTTGGACCTTCCTAACATGGCGACCACAGCCAGCCGGCCTCGCGGGACAAACTTCCGGGTTCTCCCGGGACCACGCGGACCCGGACTTCCGGTCGCAGCACGCCGGCGCCGGACTCGCTCTCTCCGGCGGTGTCGCCGATAGCCGCAGCCATGTCTTACCCCTCTGATGATTACGAATCCGAGGTGTGTTGTCCCTGAGCGCGCGGTCGGGTCCTCGACTCGGACATTGGTCCTCTGGATGTGGGGTCTGGGGGATCGGCGGTGTTCGGGCCTTTCCGGAAGCCCCGCGGGCAGTCACTCGCTCCGGCCCGTCTCCCCGCGCGGTCCGCTCGCGACTCCTCCGCCCTGCTTTCCCTGTGTCCGATCTCCTCGTCCTCCTCTGTGTCCAGGCTGCGATCGGAGCCCCTTTTATCCGAGTCTTCTGTTTCTGCGCCTTCCTGCTCCCATTCATTCTTACCAACTCTCGCTGATTCCCTGAAACTTAAGTTATGTCGACTTTATTGCACCGGTAGCTTTGTTTTGTCGGTGTCTTATTTGTTGTTCCTGTTTTACAATTTTAAAATTTGTCTTTTAGTAAATTCCGACTCCTGTCAACTGCATGTGTTACCTAATAGCACATTTCTCCATTGAGTTTTCTTGACTTCTGAGCTTTGCTATCGGGCCTCTGCTTCCCTTCTGGTCTCCTAGTGATTAAGTTTTACGAGAGGCATGTTCCCCACACGGGTTCTGTGCCTTTTGTAAGCCTTTCTGTTGGCCTGCGAGGTGTGTCCCCTGTTTAGGTGAACCGAGGTGGGGATCCAGCCCCAGATGTGACCAGGGTCAGGATGTATTTTCTTACTGGAATGTGAGTTCCTTTCAGGCGGGAGCTGCATCTTAATTCACCTTGGTTTCCGCCTAGCATCCTTGGCACATAGCAGGAAGGAACATTGTCAGTTAACAGTATATTGACACTTTTTTGTATCTTTATCATTCTAGGCTGTTTATGATCCCTATGCTTATCCATCCGGCGACTATGATATGCACACAGGTGAGAACGTGCGTTTGCAGCAGATCAGCACCTTTTAAAAAGTATTTATTAGTTTTTTTTAAAAGTACCTTTTTGAATGACTCACAATAGCCATGGACCTGTCAGTACTGCTTCTTGATGGTCCTGGTAATTGTTTCTAGGTGAAGAGCTTGATGAAGACCAATAAACCAGGCTGGGTGTTTTGTTTTGTTTTTTAAAAAAAAAGCCTTTTTTTTATGGTCCACTTCAAAGTCTCAGAAGAACAGAGTTATTGGCGTGGCTGTGGCTTCCTTGTTTAAATCACCAGGTGAAAAAGAACATCTTGATGTGAAAATGATTTGAACAAGACCCAGAATGACATTGTGGTGGGAGGTGGGGAGGCTTTGAGGATTCCAGGGACTTGGGAGTCACTTGGTTTGCCAAGCATTAACAGACGTGTGGTGGACATATGGCCCTGTTTTACAAATGAGAAAACTGAGCCCAGGAAGAGTTAGTGACCTGATAGGGTTATTGGGAGCCAGTCATTCATTTAAGAAATACTAAGTGCCTGTTTTCTTCTCTGAGCCCCCATCCCAATACATACATAAAATGTTCTGGACCCTAAAGGGTATGCCTAAGAATGAGGCAGACTAAGTTCTTCCCCTCACAGACTACGATCTAGCGGGAAAAGCAAATAATACGGAGGTAAGTAGTGGTAGGTGTACTAAAAAAATTAGGCTATAGGATCAAGCATTATGTGAGGGATGGGAGTTTTGTCTGGGTGTTTAAAACTTTCATACTTGAATTCGTGACTTGGGAATCTGAGTAGTCTAAACTGTTAAAGTGCTTGGTTATTTAGTACAGATTATAGTACAGGTCTATCCATAGAAGAAGGAGGCCTGAGTGATCTGTTAAAAAAACAAAACAAAACCAGACAAAACCCAGCCATTGAAAAGCCTATGGGGCACAGTTCTCTGTACACAGACAGGATCACCATGAATTGTAATCTGCTTAATGGGGAGTTGTTCTTATTTTTTGTTTCCTCCTTACATGTGAGTTTATGTTGATTTGGGGTAACATCAGTATCTTTGGGTCTGGAAAAGCATTATAAAGTTTTTATTCCCCCTTTAGGAGATCCAAAGCAGGACCTGGCTTACGAGCGGCAGTACGAGCAGCAGACGTATCAGGTGATCCCCGAAGTCATCAAGAACTTCATCCAGTATTTCCATAAAACGGTCTCAGATTTGATCGACCAGAAGGTGTATGAGCTGCAGGCCAGTCGTGTCTCCAGCGATGTCATTGACCAGAAGGTGTATGAGATCCAGGACATCTATGAGAACAGGTATGGGTTGTTTTTGGCTAAAGTGATCTCTTTCTGTGTGGCCTAAAAAAAGGGTAATATCTAAAAATATTCAGTGACAAGAATGCCCACCGACAGATACGGGGACATGGTATTGGCTCTTGTTTTTCCAGCAATTTAAACACGGCTGAAAATGCTATTAGTGATCATAATAGCAATGAAAATCTGTTGTTGTTGCATGCCATCAAATGCTTGTGAGTCATTGTGACCCTATTTGCAACAGCTCTGAACCCTGCTCTATCCTGGGCCAACATTATTGTCTCTGACATACCTACCCACATTACCCCAGTCACTGAGTCAATCCATCTCGTCCAGGGTCTTCCTCTCCTGTGCTGTTCCTCCACCCTCCCAACATGATACCCTCTCCAAGGACTGGTCCCTCCTTGCACTATGCCCACAGTATATCACACGGAGCTTCTGAATCCTTACCTTTCAAGGAATAGCCTGGTTCACCCTCTCAGGACAGATTTCTTCTCCTAAATGTCCATGATATTTCAGTACTCTTCTCCAGCACCACAGCTCAAAGGCATTAATTCTCCTCCTGTCATCCCTAGTCATTGTCAGACCTTCTGATGCCTAGCACGTAATTGTGAAGACCATGGTCTGGATCAGGTGCACCTTAGTCTTCAGACTGACATCATTGTTCTTCAGTTCTCTGGAAATCTGCAATCTGCTATAATATAATAGATCAGGAGTTCCTCGGGAGGTATGTGGGCGATCTCCTCCACAGCAGCCCAGTGGACGGTCAGCTGTGAGTTGGCTCCAACTTGACAGCAGTGAGTTTGAGGAGAGAAGAGTTATTCACTAGATGAGTTGGTTTTTGTTGACAATGACTGCAGCAGCAGATGGATAAGCTTGGACACAGCAGGGTTTTACCCTCCTGTCCATAGGGGTCTCTGCAAGTTGGAACCCACCTAACAGCAAGTTGAGTATTGCCTTCTAAACTCAATGAAAAAGATGGACATTTACAAGTCAGTTCCGTTGCGTGAGCCATGTGGCTGGGTTGGGCAGCACAGGCAGCTAGATGTGGTAGTTGAAGCTAAGCATACTGTTTGGTAGGGGATTGTGTTACCAGCTCAAGAGGTGAGAGGTTCGAATCCACCAGCTGTTCCACAAGAGGCAAAGGGGCACTTTCCTTTGTGATTTACAGCCTCTGAATGCCCACTGAAGGGTCAACCATGTGGTTGGTTACAAATCTGACAACAGTGCCAGGGAGTATTTTTGGCTTTTTTTTTATTTATTATTTTTTGTGTGTGCCATCAAATCGGATCTGACTGGTACAGGAGGAGATTATCCCTCCTTCTCCAGCAGAGCATCTGGTGGATTTTGCACACCTCTGGAAGTGCAGTGCAGCTTCTTGCCACTAGGCCACCAGAGCTCGCCAGTGCCAGGGAGTTTTAGAGCCCAGTGTGTGATAGACCCCTTCCTAGGACAGTGTGTCCTGAGAAAACTGGGTGGAGCTTTATGTTGTTTTCAGAGGAACCAGTAAAGGAAACAAAAAGAGCAAGTGGTAGATCAGTAGAACCAAGCACTGTAGGAACCAGAAAGCAAAGCAACTTGGAAGAAAGGATCATAGTGAGAGCACAGGTGTGGTCAGGATGAGGAAGGGGCCGGAGGAATTGGGCAGCTTAGAGGGTCCCTGCTTATCTCCGCCAGCTTAGTGTCCGCGGGGCAAGAAAAGCACAGAAGAACTTACAGGGTCACTGAGGAACTTTCTCTTGTGTTCTGATTTCAAAGGAGCCTTGTGCGTGTTTGTATGCTTGGCTGAAGGAGCCTGTTAAGAAGGCGACATGGGCCTTGATGATAGGGGAGGTGGAAGTTAATGAAAAGGATGGAGAGGAATCTGAGCAGCAGCCTCGTCCCTGGTGGGCTGTGAGCGCCACGGGCAGTGGTGTGAGTTAGGGGCCTCGTGGCCTCAGACTGCATCAGTCCGCTCATCGGTGAGCTGTGCCCGTGTGTGGACAGGGAGAAGAGTCATGGTGCTCCAGGGAGAGGGACCAGCATGGCTGAAGGCGGGTGGGTCAACCAGTGTAGCTGCGGTTTGTGATACAGAGGTAGAGATGGTCCTGGAAAGCCCAGTGGTGCCTAAGTCACTTGAAAGGAGTGTTTTACTGGACTTGGAAAGGCAGCCTGAAGTACAGCATCGGGTTACAGAAAGTTTTAGGCTTGGCAAACTGGGGCTGTTTCTGGGATATCTTCTCAGAGTTGAAAACGGAGTGTTGCCTCTCTTCCTGCTTTTGGGGTTCTAGGATTTTTCTGTTTGATTTTTAGCTGGACCAAGCTGACAGAGAGATTCTTCAAGAATACGCCTTGGCCCGAAGCTGAAACCATTGCTCCACAGGTTGGCAACGGTAGGTGTGGCATGTTTGTTCAGTGTGAGGATGGAGTCCTGTGGCTGAAGGGATGCAGCGTAGAAGAGTTAGAAAGCCCTAAATGAACAAACGAATAAACACTGGAGGCTTGGAAATAGGGCATCCAAGTGTATTGGAACCATGAGACTGTGCAGATACAGACAGTAACAGAATGAAGCCAGCTGGAGGCCTTTACACAGAAAGGTCATGAGAGTGTACCTGTTTTCTTGACCATTTTGTTCGCCCCAGGCCCTTGGTTAGTGTTGTTGAGTAAAGGGCTCGAGGTGTTTAGGGCTTGGTGAGGACTGATGTGGATGTCTTTGCCCTCTGTGGTTCCGGGAGCCCTCACAGTCTCTGGAATGGATCTCTTACTTTCTCTCTCTGTGTCCAGAAACGAGCTGTTCCGTGGCTTTCACCACACTACTTGTCTTCCTTGCAGGCTCTGCTCCTCGCTGGAAGGAGTCTCTTTTCCCTCGGCGTTCCTTGCTGAAGGAGCTGTAGTTCTCATCATCGTGCCTGCTACGGGGAAGGTCTTTAACAGCAGATAATGTTCTCCTTGGTGAATTTCTTTAGTGCTTGGTTTAAAAGGGAGCAAAGTAAGTGGAATTTTGTATTTAAGGATAGAACTATTCACCTTTGCAGTGGACGTTAGGAAATTCTGCAAGATCTCATATTCTAATTCTAAAAATTGCCCTTTCTGCAGTGCTGTTGTTCTTGCAGCGTAAGCATTCAAACAGAGGGGGGCAGTGTGGTTAAGACTTCAGTAGCCATCCTTTTTTTATTTTATTATTTTGTGTGTGCGTGTGCTGTCAAATCAGGTGTGTCCACTTGCTATACAGAGAGGTAATTTGTGGTTGCTGTGAAGCTGAACTCTGACACTGATGTGTCAAAAGCGATAGTGGTTACCCACGGTGGACAGTATTGGGTGGAGCTCCCCTTGTTAAAACAAGCTTGGAAGCAGGAGTGGCATCCACTTCCATAAAAGTTTGCCTCTGGAAATTCTCTGAACCTGGAGAAAAGATGAAAGCCACGTAAGTGTTGAGGACTTTTGATCATAGCATCGCTACGACTCGGACTCGACCACACTTAACAACAACTGTCAAATCGGATCTGACTGGTACGGGAGGAGATTGCCCCTCCTTCTCCAGCAGAGCATCTGGTGGATTTGAACCGCATTCCTCTGGGATTGCAGTGCCGCTTTTTGCCACTATCCATCCTTTTCATCACTGCCATCTTAATGTATATAAAATTATATCGCTCTGATTTTGATTTGCGTTTCTGCAGTAATGCACAGTGTCTTTTATCCCTGGGTGACGGAAAAGGTTAATCTCTTGACTGCTACCTGAAAGCTTGGCAGTTTGAGCTTACCCACATGTGACGTTGATGTCAGGCTGGCCCAGGAGTCCGCTTCCAAGACGCAGCCTCAAATCCTGTGGGGCAGCGCCCTGCTGTCGCTCAAGGCGTTGCCAAGTCAGAACTGACATGATAGGAGTTAGGACAGCAACTCGGGACGCAGGCGGGCTTTTCACGTGATTGCTGGACAGTCATGACTCTTCTGTGGAGAAATGTCTGTTCACATCCTTTGCCTCTTAATTGGATTATTTTTTTTTGTTATGAAGTTACAAGAATTCTTTTTCAGATACCTTTTTAGCAGATCTTTCTCCCCTTCTGTGGGTTCTCTTTCACTCTCCTCATGGTAGATGGTTGCCCTTGAATAAGGTGTGAAGTAGAAGGTCCTGCGCTGCTCTTTGGACTGTGGATAGTCAGTTGTCCTGGTAACTTTTGTTGAAAGGACTTCTTTCACTTTTGAATGTCTTAGCACTCTTGTTACGAATCAGTTTCTCTTGTAAATGCAAAGAATTGTTTCTGAACTCATTCTTTTCTGTATATTCGTCTGAAGCCATTATGTCACTATGACGCTCTTTTGGTTTTTTTTTAACTTCTTTTTTTAATTATTATTTTTGTGTGAGTGTACCGTCAAATCAGATCTGACTGGTACAGGAGGAGATTGTCCCTCCTTCCCCGGCAGAGCATCTGGTGGATTCGAACCGTGCGCCCCTGGTATTGTAGTTGCAGTTCCTTGCCACTAGGCCACCAGAGCTACCCTCCACCAGAGCTCCCCTTACGATGCTCTTTTGATAGTTGCACTACTACTCAGCCACGAACAGGCTCATCGACACTATAGAGTCAGACTGATTCTTCAGCAGGTTTCCAAGGCTCTAAATCCCACGGGAGATTTCTCCTCTCTCTCACTCTCCCTCTCGCTCTCCCTCTCCCTCTCCCTCTCTCTGTTGATGGGTTTGAGCTGCCAGAGAAGCACTCGCCCTGTGTTAGCAGCTCCCTTCCCTGTGTGGCCTTGGCCGCCAGAGCTTCCTCTGTAATTACAGCTTTGTAGTTCTGAGCTTCAGAATCTGCATCCTCAACTTTGTTCTTGTTTAAAAGATTGTTTTGGCAAATTGCGTGCATGTGTGTGTGTGTGTGTTTAAGTAAAGGAAAAAAATCTGAAAGGGATCATGGTAAGATCAAGTTGAGGTTGAAAAAGTAGGATGAGAAATGAGTTTTCTCAGTGCATGTATTTTTGTTGTTGTGTTTTATCTTGGTTGGCATACAAAATTCGTATATGTTGTGTCCTCATTCATGCACATTGTGTTTCCCACATTCCTTCGTTCACATTGCGTTTCCTGTAGTCATTCCCATACTGCATGTATTCTTGGGACAGAAGCAGAGGAGTCTAGATTTTTTAATCTCTAAAGTCATGTTTATCCCCTTTACATCATCCCCGTCCCCACAGGAGGAAACGTCCAGAAGCCCCTGGATAATGTTTTCTCGGTTTGTAAAGCACCCCTTTGTCTCTTTCAGATGCCGTCTTCCTGATTTTGTACAAAGAATTATATTACAGACACATCTACGCCAAAGTCAGCGTGAGTATCTATCTGTGTGTTGGGTGTTTTCAGCTGTGCTGTTCCCCGGGACACAGCGGTTAGTTTCTGTTGTTGTTTCCATTTCCAAGAGTGGTCGGCACGTTTTCTGAGCCAGCAGACGATGTGGTTCCGGGCACCATAAGGCGGCACGGTCTGTCTGCTCCTCTTTCGTTTCTCTGTCCCCACTGCCCTTGTTCATGACTGTGTCTGGATGACAGACTGCTGTCCTGGGAGGGTGTTCCCAGCACATCTGCCTCTGCTTGGAAAACTCTTTCTCTTCAGTACATTTGCCCTTGAATTTCTCTTCTGCAAAGTACAAGATGCTATGCCACAGGCTTATTGTAAACGCGTGTCACACACCTGCATGGCTGGCCCTCACAGCAGACCTGCAGGGTTGGCACATGGAGGCAGGAAGGGGTTACTAGTCTCGTTCACGTTGCAAGAGTCAAAACTCCCTGGGTGTAGGACTGTTTTATTGTAATACCATTGTTCTTTCCCCAACCCTCCCAGCTTTGGGCACTTGCTAGGTCTTCTCTGTATATCTAAATTTCAGAGTGCTCCAGATCTCTTAAAAATTCTCTGTTGAGAATCAACCTCCTGACATCAGGATTGAGTCTCACTCCTAGCAGCCCCGCAGGAAAGACTAGAATTGCTCAGAGAGACTCCCGAGACTGTGAACAGTTACGGAAACAGCCTTTCTTGTGTGTCTCCTAGGGAGCCCCTGGTGAGATCAAACCACCACCTTTTGGGTAGTCGCTGAATACTTTAACCAGTGTACCACCAGTTGTAAAATATGCTTTGTGTAATGTCAGTCAGTGAATTAAGTCTGTTTCAGCCCTACTTTCTCCACTGAAGTTCAAAACTGTGTATGGAAAAAAAATTAGATGTCCAACTACCTTGTTAACATCTCTAGGGAATGACTGACAAATATCAGCACAACGTTTGCTCTGATTTTTCTTCTAAGCCTGATCTTCCCACCTTCACCTTAATAACTCTCCATCAATCACCTCGGTCCTCAGGCTGCAAATTAGGGCCTCACTGTACGTTTCCTATCACTCTCCGTCCATCTTGAACTTGCTTGTTGGAACCGACCCCTCTGTACCTCCGTGCTCCTTTACGTCACTGTCATCCCTTGTCCAGACTGTCAAGGCAGTGAGGATGCTGTTTGCTTCCATTCTGGGTTTTCTGCTTAGTAACCAGAGTGATCTGTTTTTAGTGCCTGTCACCCTTTCCTTAAATCCCACCACGGTTTCCTGTTAAGCTCAGGAGACTTTAAGTCTACGCCATGGTCCTGCTTGAGCTGGCCCCTGACTCATTCATTGGCTGGTATTGTTAACTCTCCCTTCCTGCTGTGGGCCCCTGCCCGTGCTCTGTGGCACGTCAGAGCCTGTGTCACTAGCAGACACTGCTTTAGTTTTGGAGTTTTGGGTTGGTTGACTTGCCCACTAGTAGGTAAACTTCTGCATGGGTTTGGATTTATGGCAGGCCCTTCCCCATGGGTCTCTCATAGTGTCCCATGCCAGAGCGAGCTGGAGCCCCGAACCATTGCCTGGCCTCCTTTCTCATAGGCAGCAGGCACTGAAGCGGGTTGCACAGTTCAAACAAACCAAAAAAAGGCACACGTGTGGGGCCTAGTTTGGATCACTGTTCAAGGCTGGTGTCTAGAATTGCCTCTTGCTTCGTAATGGTAACAGCTGCTCAGTGTTGGTACTGTGTGCGTCTGTAAATGAAGGAAATGGCCCTGGCCCGTTCCTTGGAATGGTTCCATCGCAGCTGCTCATGGTTCTCCCTCCCCACCCACCCTGGACCTCGTGACTGCAGGAGCTGGTGGTTGTAGCTAGCAGAGGTCCAGCGGCTGAAGTAATGCAGGAGGGCCGGATGGTGCGGGATCGCTGGCTCCCATGTCTAGACATGAATAGAGGATAGAAAACAGGTTCTCGTGCTCCTTGGGCTTGTGAGCTAGACTGAGTCCAGCCAGTGTGTGTAATGCTGCTCGGGGAAGTCCGTGGTGCCAGAACCTGCGTGCATGTGGCCACGTTCTAGCACCTCTAATCTTGTTTGGTCTGTAAAGTATGTTCTTAGGTGCCAGTAAATTAGTTCCCACTCAGCACCTTACGTACAACAGAATGTCACAGTGCCTGGATCTGTGCCATCTTCACAGTCTTTGTTATGTTTGACCCATTTTGCGGCCACTGTGTTAAATCCATCTCACTGAGAGTTCCCATTTTTCCTCGCTTCGCTTTACCAAGCATGATGTTCTCCAGGGACTGACATTACCTGATAACACATCTAAAATAGATGAGACGCAGTCTTACCATTCTGGTTTCTAAGGAGCATCCTGTACTTTCCCCAAGACATTTGTCCTGGGTCTGTGGTAGGCGCGGTACGCAGTATGTCCTCCCAGCACCAGATTCAGGTGCGTCTGTTCTCCCCCCACCCTCCATCAGACAGGTAGGTAGTGTGCTGATGGCATAACAAAGCTTGAGGGGGAGACATGCCACTCGACATAAAAGTGGAACCACACTTAGGAGCCGAAGGGCCGTCAGTCGTCGTCTTGTATGTTCAGCTTTTTGCATACACATGAAGTGATTGAAAATACCATCGCTTGTATCCTCAGAGTGACGTCGTTGTTCTGTTACACTTTAAAGTGGTCTTTGGCTGCATATGTGTTGAATGCATTCCTACAGGCCAGGCCAGGAAATTTGCCGTCCATGAACACGTTTAAAATCTGAAGTGAAAGGTTTTCATTAGATGAGCGTTTACTGTGCTAAGCACGTTAACTAACAACATAATTTCACTTACTTGGCCCTAATAGTTGCTTTCACCCACATCAGAAGCCCACAGAGGTGGGAGGCTGAGACTCCATGGCCATGTTCTTCCTACCCCACACAGCTCCACTGTTCACCGTCTTGTTCCCTGGGGCAGACACCTCCAATCCCTCTCAGTTCCTGGCACCATCAAGTCTAGACCGCGGGTCAGGACCACATAGTTAGCATCTTGAGCGTTGAGAACAGTGCTCGCTGTGGCAACTCTGCAGCTTGCTGAGGCTGTCGTAGAAGTAACGTAATGAACGGCCACGGCTGTGTGCCCGTGAATTTTTATTTGAAAACAATGAGTCGGCTGGATTTTGGCCATGGGCCAGAGCTGACTCACCCTTTATCTGGGTCCTTGACACCCAAAGACCTTTGCAGTACTGGAAAGCCCCACAGTGTAGCTGTGGTTTCTGTTACTCCCAGCATTCAGGCCCCCGGGTTTACTGCTGGACCAGTACTGCTTTTCCCACTAAAGCACCTGCCCTCCAATCTGTGTACCAGGTCTTTAAGGGCCAGTCGAGATCCGTTTCCTTAGCACCTAACATCGTGGTAGAAACTTCAGTATCATTTGAACTGCCGTGGTACTTTTACCATCACGGAACAAACTGTCTCACTTTTACCATCATGGGAACAAACATTCTCATTTGTGTTCTCAGCCCTCCTGGTAGACCGTGAACAAGACATGGGAAGCCACCAGTGTTTGCCATCCAGTGTTACTGTGAATTGACCGAGAACCTTGGAGGACAGGATAGAGCCCCACCCTGTAGGGTTTCCAAGTGTGTAATCATTACAGAAGTCAACTTCCACATCGTTCTCCCACAGTGGGTTCAAACCAGCAAACCAGCAACCTTCTGCAAAAACCCACATTGATGTTAAATAAGTTTTCTGATGTCTCTTTACAGGGGGGACCCTCATTGGAGCAGAGGTTTGAGTCCTATTATAACTACTGCAATCTCTTCAACTACATTCTTAGTAAGTCTGATAATTGGGCAAAAGTGAAGAGGGCTTTTTTTGTTTTTTAATTTTAATTTTTTATTTTTTAATTTTTTTTTTTTTAATTTTGTGTGTGTGTGTGTACCGTCAAATCAGATCTGACTGGTACAGGAGGAGATTGTCCCTCCTTCCCCGGCAGAGCATCTGGTGGATTCGAACCATGAGCCTCTGGGATTGTAGTTGCAGTTCCTTGCCACTAGGCCACCAGAGCTCCCCTTGTTTTTTAATTATTAATTTTAATGAAATTTTACAGAGACTTTGGATTTCCATTCATTCATTGTTGTACTTTTCTCTCTGCCCAACCCTACCCTCCCTCCCCCAAGAAGAGGAGTTTTGATCAGGACAAGTATTGATTGGCCTCCAGCTATTTTAGCAGGATTTACCAGGGGCGGGGGTACAAGGGGGCAATGGTTGTGTTTCATGATCCTTTTAAGAGAAATTACAAGTAAACCTGTTCTCCTGCTGACTGAGCAGAGTACTTGCTTTGGCTCTGACTTTTCTGTAATTTGGGTTAAACTGCTTCTTGTTTTTCCTGTGCAGATGCTGATGGTCCCGCCCCTCTGGAACTACCCAACCAGTGGCTCTGGGATATCATTGATGAGTTCATCTACCAGGTAGCTAGTGAGCTTCAGCCCGAGTTGAAGTACTTGGGTCAAAAATACATCTGATCCCAGCAAGAGCTGGCATGTTGTTTGTGTTGTTAGAAAGATGCTTGGTGGAAAATAGTCGTGGGGTGTAAAAACTTCCCATAGCAGTGGACTTGCGTGTTGGGAGATTCTCTGAGGAGACAGAGAGTCCTGCACACTCTAGCTAAGAACTTGCAAATTAGGAGCGCTGATTTCCTGACTTCCCCCAACTCTTACCTGGGAGATGGTCTTGCAGGAAGAACAAAAGTGTCATAATCTGTGGCAACGGGAAATCCAGTCTGGATGTCACCACCCAGAGGCTCTGTAAGGAGGGCGTGTCATTTAAACTCTTCTGAGCCTCATTTTCCCCACCTGCAAACCAAATGTTTTTATCTTGCTTGGGGGCGGTGATTAATTTTTATGCAAGAAGAACTTGATAAAATGTAACATTTTTATTTAAACAGGTAGACCCATCTCAGGGCTCTTGCTGACTGCCTCTGAGAACAGGCCCCCCAGGCATACTTCAGGGTAGCAGTGGGTGTAAAAGCCCAAGGTTTGCTGTTGACTGGACCTTGGGCAATTTTCTTCAGGATTTTTTTTTCTCTTGTTGTATACAGTCGAGTAGGATCTTTCTGGCACAGGAGGAGATTGCCCCTCCTTCTCCAGCGGAGCGTCTGGTGGATTCGAACCCCGTGCCTTCAGGATTGCAGCACAGCTTCTTGCTACTAGGCCACCAGAGCTCCTTTGGGCAGTTTTTTTAACTGCACTAGGCCTTGGTTTCCTCTTCTCTTAAACTAGATTTGTAGGTGGGTTATCAAAGTGTTTTTTTTAATGTAGAATTTAAATACAGGGGTTTTTTTTTGCTTTTACTGATGCTTTTTAAATTACTAATTGCATAATTGCTAACTATTAGTAATTATATAACTTCTGTTCTGAGGAAACAATCCTCAGAACAGAGCAAGGAAATGTTGCATAGTTCAAAATCAGGAAAAGAATACGTCAGGGATGCGTCCTGTCTCCATACCTTTTCACTCTATATGCAGAACAGATCATTCAGGAGGCTGGGCTTTATGAGGAGGAATGTGGCATCAGGATTAGAGGAAGACTTATCAACAACCTGAGTTATGACACATCCCTGCTTGCTGAAACTGAAAAGGACCTGAAGTGCTTGCTGCAGAAGGTCAATGGCTATGGTCTTCAATGTGTATTGAAGCTCAACATCAAGAAAACAAAGATTCTCACCACTGGGCCAATTGGCAGCACCATGATGGACAAGAGATTGAGGTTGTTAATAATTACAGCTTGCTTGGCTCCATGATCAACACTTAGAGCACCAGCAGTCAGGATATCAGAAGATGAATTGCACTGGGAAAATCTGCTGTCAGGGACTTCTCCAGGGTACTGAGAAGCAGTCATGTCAGTCTAGAGACTAAGCTGCACCTGATCCAGGCCATGGTCTTCGCATGCATCAGAGGGCTGGACAGTGACTAAGGATGACAAAAAGAATCAGTGCTTTTAAGTTGTGGTGCTGGAGAAGAGTCTTGAACATACTATGGACCGCCAGGAAAACAAATAGGTCTGTCTTGGAGAGGGTGAAACCAAGTTTCTCGTTTGTGGCTAGGATTTTGAAGCCCTGTCTCGCATACTTTGGGTATGTGACCAAGAGGGACCCGGTCCTTGGAGAGGGACATCATGCTTGGGAGGCTGGAGGGACAATACAAGAGAGGAAGACCCTGGATGAGATGAATTGACTCAGTGACTGGGGTAATGGGTGTAGGTGTGTCTGAGTCACTATGACAGGGACTTGGGTAATGGGTGTAGGGTCACGGTGAGCTGCAAACGACTTCACAGAACATAACATCAGCAGCATATGCCTAAGTAGAACAAATGATGTAATGAACCCCGTGAGCCCATCTCCCCGCCCAGACAGCTACCACCTCATCCTCACCCCCACCCAGTTTCCGTTTCTCACTGGCTTTTCTCATTGTTCATATGTAATTTTAGTAAGGGAATTTTATTTATTTATTTTTTTTTCCATCATGTTGTACGACCATCACCATTATCCACTTGCCAGTTTTTCCCTCGTGGAGTAGTTTTTACTGAAGATGCTGTTTGAGCTTCACCGTCTTTGTGCGTATTGGGTGCTGATAAGTGGAAAGAAAGCGGCTTCCTGCCAAAAGCTCCGGCCTCAGGGCCTTCGTGTCGTGGAAGCCTGTGGACTCGTTAGGCTGCAGGGGATCATCCGCTGGGGTTCCTCAACTCTCTTAGGAGCGTCCTAATCCCCTGGGCTTAGCCGAGTTCTCTTCTTAAGGTGCTTAATTCATTAAAGTCCTTTCCTTGTCAAAGACTCTTCGATGCTGAGCGCACTGAGTGCCCGCTGTGATTCTCCCCCGCGAGGCAAATGCCAGCAGCTCTTCGGCCACTTCACTGTACTTTTGGAAGGAATATATGAAGCGTGGACTTCCGTTATTTTCTTCTTCTTTTCACTAGGTAAAGTAAAGGGGCCTTCAAAACAACTAGGAGATATCATCTCACCCCAGTCAGAATAGCAAAATTTAACAGAACAGCAAGCAACAAATGCTAGCGAGGTTGTGGGGAAACTGGAACCCTTATTCACAGTTGGTGGAGTGTAAAACGGTGCAACCACTGTGGAAGGCGTTATGGCGCTTTCTCAAAAAGTTGCGAATAGAGATACCATTTGACCCAGCATTCCACTACTTGGAATATACCCTAAAGAAACCATAACTGACATCCAAGCAAATATATGCACACCCATGTTTATTGTGGCTTTGTTCACAGTAGCAAAGAGCTGGAAACAACCCAAGTGGCCATCAGCAAATGAATGGATAGAGAAGCTGTGGTATATTTGCACAATGGAATACTAGGCTGCATTGAAAAACAAGGAACTCATGCAATATTATTCAAAATGGGTGACCCTGGAGGACATTATGCTGAGTGAAATATCTCAGTCACAAAAGGACAAATATTGCATAGAGCCATTGTTGTAAAATAGGACTGACATCAGGGCTGAGGGAAGACAGAAAAGGAGGAGAGGAATGATGTATATTGCCTTGAAACAGATGTGGGGATATATGGTTGGGTATTGTCATTACAGAAGTCCAGAATGAGGCTGCATAGTGGAGTGAATTTAGGGGGAGGGTTTGCCTAACAATGAAAGAGTTTTTCTTTTCAAGGAGAAGAGTGAATGGGGGGAGGGGTGGGCAGGGAGAAAAATGCAACAATGAATGACTAGAAATCCTAAATCTCTCTAAACTTTCGTTAAAGTGTGTGTGTGTGTGTGTGTGTACACACACACACACACACCTAGCGAAAAGAAGTGAAGGAGCCTGCTGCCATCTGCAGCAGCACCATTTCTTACCTGGAAGGACTGGCATCAATTTCTGTTTCTTAGACCTTTACAGAGATGGACATAGGAAATAGCTTGCCATGACCAGGGACACTTTCCCAGTCCCCGTATGTCCCTGACTGTGTGGATCATGACAAGTTGTGGCTGACATTGAGAAGAATGGGATTCCCAGAGCAGTTGATTGTGCTCGTGAGGAACCTATACCTGGACCAGAGTCCTTTGAGAAGCTGGACTCTATGAAGAGGAGTGTGGCGTCGGGGTTGGAGGGAGACTCATCAATAACCTGCGTTATGCAGATGACACAACCTTGCTTGCTGAAAGTGAGGAAGATGTGAAGTACTTGTTGCAGAAGATCAAGGAATGCAGCCTTCGGTATGCATGTATCTCAATATCAGGAAAACAAAAATTCTTACCACTGGACAATGACATGGTGGATGGAGAAGAGATTGAAACTGTCAACATCTTCATCTTGCTTGGATACACAGTTAACACCCTTGGTACCAACAGTCAGCAAATAGGAGATGTACTGCACTGGGAAAATCTGAAGTTAGAGACCTCTCCAAATTACTGAGTAGTGATGTCAGTTTGAAGACTAAGGTCATCTAATTCTGGCCATGATCTTTCTAGTTACTTGCTATGCATCTGAGAGCTGGAAAGTGAATAAAGATGACAGAAAAATAATTGATGCCTTTGAGCTGTGGTGTTGGAGAAGAACACTGGATATCCCATGGACGACCAAGAGAACAAACAGAAATGTCTTGGAGAGGGTGCAGCCAGAGTGTTCTTTGGAGGCCAGAATGATGAGGCTTCACCTCACATACTTTAGGCGAGTTGCTAGGAGAGGCTATTGCTTGGACAAGATGTTGACAAGGGTGGAGGGTCTATGAAGGAGAGGAAGACCCTCAACTAGATGGCCTGAAAAGGTGACTGCTACAGTGGGCTCTTGTGTATCTGGAAGTGAGGATGGTGCAGGACAGGACTGGGTTCAGATCTTTTGTTCACGGTGTTGCTTTGAGTCTTACTCCACTTGACGGCACCTAACAACAACCACAACATGTGTACCTGTCATGTTCTTTTGCTGCAGTGCACAATGTGGGGGTCCATTCCTCTGAGGATAAACCATGAGTGTTCTGTTTTGAGTATCTGTGTATACTACACATCTGTATGCCTGTAGAGATCACAGTCCAGTACTGGAATTGTTGATTAAGATCGTTGCTTTAACTTTTTTTTCTTTTATAGAGGCCTAGTAGGAATACTAAAAAGAATTTATTTTAGTGATATGGTTCACAAAATTGGACAATCTAAATGATAGTATTTACTCCTTTTTGTCACGCATTATCTCATTTATGGGAAATGTCATATATATTTTGCATCTTAATTCTTTGTTACTAATTGGGGACTGGTTCCTTTTTAACTTCTAGTTGTGTTGTGCCGTGAAGTCACAGCTGACTGATAGCTGACCCTCCAGTGGGATTTTATTTATAGACAGTAAATCGCATGGGAGGAGCAGCTGATGGATTTGAATCTTTCACCTTTGGGTTGAGAGTGCAACTTCCTACTCACTAGGCCGCCAGAGTTGGTTATTTGAGGAAGCAATTTTTCATGGGTGATAAATACAAATTTTAACTCTTAGATGAAAGGTGAAGTGATTTTTCTTTTGTTTTTGTTTTATTATTTTAGTGGTTTAATTTTAAGTTCAAAGGGTATTTTACAGTCTTGGGGATTCCTCTAGTCTCTGTCAGTGTAGGAAGTCTGGCTTTTGTGAGGAATTTGAGTTTTGCTGATTTTTGGTCTCCAGGACCTTCTTTTGTGCCCCTGGTCAGAACAGTCACTGGTGGCTGGGCGTCTTCTGGTTTTTTGGTCTCAGGCTAGTCAGGACCGTATGGGCCCTCTGAGGGCTAGTTCCTTAGTTCACGTGAGCCTTGTGGACTAGTTTATTCTTGGAGGTTTTTGTTTCTTTCATTCTCTTTGTTCCAGATGAGTAGAGTTCATTTGTTATTATGTGGCCCCTACAAGCTTTTAAAAGCCCAGATTGTACTCACACAGTTGAGATACCCGTGTTGGTTGACTCTATTGTCTCCCCAGGCTATAGAAGGCCAAACCTTTAAACCTAGGAGGTCGACCCCATAAGGTGTTTCTTTGTAACTACGTGGTGTCTGTGACTGTACCCCCCCTGTGATTTGTATGTATGTACAGAGAGAATGAGTACACACAGCACACAGAGACATGTGCACATATACCTACTAATACATCTGGGTCACCTGTGTAACTACTCATATTTTTGTTGTTGTAATCCTAAGAGATTTTTTTTTCTTAAATGTAAAATAAGCATCACATTTATTATTGAACAAAATTAAAAATTCATGCTTTAATCACAGATGTTTGTTTTGCAACAACTTGTGTACAGGCTGGCTTAGAGTGGGAGGTAGTAATCTCCCCTGACTTTCCCTAGTCCTGTGGCCCTGAACGCTGGGGGCCCCTGGCCCAGTCTGAGCCGATGGCCTCATTTCCAGCCTGTGTGCTTGGCGGGTCCCTTTGGGATTTTTAACCAGTGCATCTTTCTCTTTGTAGTTTCAGTCCTTTAGTCAGTACCGCTGTAAGACTGCGAAGAAGTCAGAAGAGGAGATTGACTTCCTCCGATCCAATCCCAAAATCTGGAATGTTCACAGTGTCCTTAACGTCCTTCATTCCCTGGTAGACAAATCCAACATCAACCGTCAGCTGGAGGTGTACACAAGTGGAGGTGAGTGCAGCAGGACGGAGGGCCCAGCCACGCGTTCCAGACGGCCTGCCGTTTGCCACCTGTTCCCAGGGAGCAGGGAGCCGGCCTCTTCGGTGCTTGTTGAAGGCTAGATGGATTCATTTCTGCTCTCCATCCAATCTGTTGCAATATGCTGCTTTGATTAAAATATATGAAGAAAACTGGCCTCACCCAGATATGTAGTTGGAAACCTTAAGAGCACTTTAAAATAACCATGGCTCTTCTTTGACAGGCAAACCTAAACGAGTGTTAGAGGCTAGAGAGATGTTAGTCTTACGCTGTGGGGTCTGATAATACTGAACTCTCTCCTTTGTTTTGTCCATTCAGAATGTGTCTGCTCTGTATTCTGAGTACCTCCTTTACCCCAGGTGGTTTTATGACCTTCCTAGTGTTGCTGCATTATATTCTCCAACAAGAAGAGTCGGATTTGTTCTTTGAACTGTCAGCCTCATCAGACAAGTCTTTATTGGGAAGCTGTTTGAACACTCAGCAGATCCTAAGTTTTACAAAGTTTTTACTTGAAAGCTCAAATTTTATCATCCACAACAGACTCATTTGTAGTGTGGGATTTTTAAAGTGTGGCCAGCTCTCTTCCCTTTTTTATTCTTTTCCTTTTCTTTGAGAAAATGTCTGCTGAAGACCCACTTCCGGATAACCGTGTCGGTTTTTCAGTTGTTTTTTTAAGTGAAAATAATGTTGCGGGGAGGGGGAAGGTGGTGGTGCGAGTGGGTTTCAGCAGGAGCATGGTAATGTGGCGGCTGGTGGTGGTGCGGGTGGGTTTTGGCAGGAGCATGGCGGCTGGTGGTGGCGCCGGGTGAGTTTTGGCAGGAGTGTGGTGGTGGTACGGGTGGGTTTTGGCAGGAGCTTGGTGGCTGGTGGTGGCGCAGGTGAGTTTTGGCAGGAGCATGGCGGCTGGTTGGTGGTGCAGGTGGGTTTTGGCAGGAGCGTGGTGTTGGTACGGATGGGTTTTGGCAGGAGCATGGCGGCTGGTGTTGGTGCGGGTGGGTTTTGGCAGGAGCTTGGTGGCTGGTGTTGGTGCGGGTGGGTTTTGGTAGGAGCATGGTGGCTGGTGGTGGTGCAGGTGGGTTTTGGCAGGAGCATGGTGGCTAGTGTTGGTGCGGGTGGGTTTTGGCAGGAGCGTGGTGGTGAGGAATGTTGTGCCTGCTTGTATCCTGGAGTGTCACCGCCTGGTTTATGCTCTGTTGTCGGCACATTCACGCACCATTGATTCTGCATCAGCAGTGCAGATGTCAGCCTAGTAGGAAAGGCAGTCAGCATCTCAGTATTCCTAGGAGCGTAGCTTTGACCTCATGGACTTTCTGAGAGGAGTGATGCCCAGATGGGTCATTTACTAATGAGAAGATTTCCTGTGTGGACAGAATTGGACTGCCACTCTCTGAACAGCTCATTGGGTGACATTCAGAGGTTCTCCTTTCCCTCCTCCTCCGGCTTAGTGGTCCCAGCATATCTCTCTCTCTCTCTCTCTCTCTCTCTCAGGTGACCCCGAGAGTGTGGCTGGGGAGTACGGACGGCACTCCCTCTACAAGATGCTTGGCTACTTCAGCCTGGTGGGGCTTCTGCGCCTGCACTCCCTGCTGGGGGATTACTACCAGGCCATCAAGGTGCTGGAGAACATCGAGCTCAACAAGAAGGTAAATGCCAATTTCCCTGGCCTGTCTACTCACAACCAGATGTTCACCTGCTTTGAGAGAAATGCATTGATTGTGACAGTTTCAGGGCGAGGAAGGAGGACAAGTGGGAATGTACACAGGGTGTGGTTTCTCTCTAATAACGTTTTAACATACTTGGCAGTCTTTTGATTCTGTTTCAAAGCTATAGTGGCATTAAACTTTCAAATAACAATTAAAAATAAAATAATAAATAACAGAATGTCACTCTTCAGAGTTCACTTGTCTTAACAAGTGGCTTGGTTCTTAAACCATATAGGTACTGGTATGATTAGCTGTGGTGGTTTCTCATGTTGTTATGTGCCGTCGAGTCGCTTGCAACTCATAGTGACCCTATATACAACAGCCCTAAACTCTGCTCTGTCCTGTGCAAGTCACACTGTCCCTGACACGCCCATCCCGATTACCCCAGTTACTGAATCAGTCTGCCTCATAGAGGGCCTGCTCTGTCCCTCCACCTTCCCAAGTATGGTGTCCCTCTGCAGGGACTGGTCCCTCCGTACAACATGTCCAAAGTATGTCAGACGAAGCCTCAGAATTCTTGTCTCCAAGGAGTAGCCCGGTTTAACCTTTTCCAGGATGAATCTGTTTGTTTTCCTAGCAGTCCATGGTACCCTCAACACTCTTCTCCAGCACCAGAGCTCAAAGGCATCAATTATCCTTCTATCCTCCTTAGTCATTGTCCAGTTCTCTGATGCATAACAAGTGATTGAAAAGACCATGGCCATATTAGATGCACTTTAGTCTCCAGAGAGACACCATTGCTCTTCAATACTTTGGAAAGGTCCCTAACAGCAGACTTTCCCATTGCAATACGTCTTTTAATTTCCTGGCTGCTGGTGCCAAGAGTGTTGACCATGGAGCCAAGCAAACTAAAGCTGTGTACAATCTCAATCTCTTCACCATCCATCCTGATGCTGCCAATTGGTCCAGTGGTGAGAATCTTTGTCTTCTTGACATTGAGCCTCAGTCCATATTGAAGGCTGCAGTCCTTGACAGAAAAATAGGGGGGTTTTGGCTCTTTGTTTATTGTCGTAAATGGCAAAGTTATGAGACATTTACCAGATCATGGAAGGTGTAGCTGATTGCCTTCTTAAACAGCTGCCTCCTTTACTGTAAAACCTTGTGGACTAACGATGTCCCCAGCCACTATTACTGGACACTTTGATGCAGAAAGCTACAGAATAACCTTGAAATATAGAAAATTCGTGTGGAATCCAGACATGGTGTGGCACCATGACACCAGGGAGGCTGGATGAAGGCCTATAACTGCTTCTCTGATGTAATCTTTAAAATGCAAGCCAAGGAGCTCTGGTGGCCTAGTGGATAAGAATCTGCACTGCAGTCCCAGGGGTGCACGGTTCAAATCTGCCAGCTGCTCTACAGAAGAATGGACAGTCTCCTGTGTGATTCTGATTTTGAAATCCTGCTGGAGGGTCAGCTGTGGGTCAGTTCTGACTCAATGGCACACAACCACATGCTTCGTTACAACAAAAGTTTAAAAAAAAACCCAAAAGGATTCCCTGAATTCTTCTTAAAGTCAAAGAAGTGTCTAGGTTAATAGTAAAGAAGGTCTGCCTTGAGCATTCTGGTTTTTAAGTAACTATGTGGCATCCATTTGGCCAACAGCAAATGGGAAGATTATAGAGAGAGAACTGGGGGAGTGCTGGGTCCCCCTAGTTTCTGGGGAAGGACTGGTAGACAAGGAGGGTCAGAATGGTTGTACCACCGAATGATGTAATCAACATGACCGTTGTATGTGTGAGATTGTGGAGAGTGAGTCTGCCCTGCTGTGCGTGTAGTGTCTCAACAAAACACACTTTAAAAAATCAACCCACCGGTCTCTTTTAAACAATTTATCATTTCCGCAGTCTTTCATATGTATCATTTCGTGACATTGTTTATCTTGTCCTTCCACCATCCCCCTCAACAGAAGCCCATATCTGCCCACCCAGCACATGTCTGTCTGCCCCATCCCACGTCCACCTTCTAACCGCTGATGAACTTTGGTTTCTGTCACTAAAGAACTTGTCACTTCTTTATATTTTGTAGAAGTGATATCATACCACATTTGTCCTTTTGTGACTGATTTAATTTGCGCTGCGTTTGTCATGTCTTGGAGTAGATGAGGACTTCTGTGGCTGAGTGATATATGACTGAACCACAGAATATGTATGTTTTTGGCTTTTGATGTGTGTCGTCTTACCTGCCTGTCTCTTCCTCCATAAGGTTTATTTGAAAGCACAGTGAGGGGAAAGACGGCTGAATGCAAAATGGAGTGAAGGGTTTTAAAGAGAGGTCTCGGGGTCGGATGGTCCAGGCCTCTGCTTTATAAGAAACTAAGAAAGGAGGCGACTTAGTCCATGAATGGTACCGTCTGGGCTCAGGGCCTGTTGTCTCGACTCCTGCATGCTCCAGGGCCTCTGAGGAGAAGCAGACTCCAGGCCCCAGCAGCTCCCTGTCCAGTCAAGGATGTGGAGACCCTAGAACTCAAGGGTGCTGCTTCCTTCCACAGAGCATGTATTCCCGGGTTCCCGAGTGCCAGGTCACCACGTACTATTACGTCGGCTTTGCCTATCTGATGATGCGCCGCTACCAGGACGCCATCCGGGTCTTTGCCAACATCCTCCTCTACATCCAGAGGACCAAGAGCATGTTCCAGCGGACCACGTATAAGTACGAGATGGTAAGGGGCCCTTCTCAGCTCACTGCTCGACACCTAGACCGACAGTTTTTGGTCTGCCCGCCCAGAGTTGTCCTGTTTGAGCAGCTGTCCTGTAGAGTTCTGTTATGATGCGTGTTGACTCTGACGTTAACACCCTGCCAGTGTGCACTGTCTTGTCTTTTCATTCTCGCCCAGTGCTCAGTGCCTGACATTTATTTATTGAGTTAAAGTTTGCTGAATCTACAGTGTATACCTGGTCCAAGGTCTTTATAGAATCAGTCAGCAGTGGTTTGCTGTCCTGATGGGTCAGGCGTCGGGGGAGCTGTGTGTGCAGTGTATACGTATCTTTAGAGGACCAACGGAGCACAGCACGGAGGCTTGAAAGGACGGTGATGGGGAGCACAGAAACCAGTTAGCAAGAGGAGAGTGCTGGGAAGTGGCATGTTAGACTTGGGAGAATCTTGGATTGCTCGTGGCTTTGTTACATTCTGTCAAGTCAGAACTGACTCTTAGCTGACCCTCCCGTGGGTTTTCAGAGACAGGACATTGCCCATTTTTCTCCTACGAAGCAGCTGGTGCATTTGAACCGAGCGCTTTTGACTTTCCAGTGCAACTTCTTAGCACAAAGTCAGCGTAGAATTTATATTTGGTTTTTTGCTTTTTCTACCTCCTGTCGTCACGGAGGTACCTTGAGAGACTTGAGTGACTTCATCATGACGAATGTGGGTGTTAACTTCTGCTGATAAGAGGGTGGACTGGAGGAAGTAGAGATTCTAGTGAAGAATCCAAGAGATCCTGCGGGCGACCTGGAGCTGGGGTGACCTGGAACCGGGGCGACCTGGAGTTGGGCGTAGTTCAGTGTGAGGGGGGAGGGGGGTCTGTGTGTGTAAGCTTTTGGGCAGGTTAACTGACCTGTCAGGAAAAGCTGAGCCCCCAAGATCGGTCCAGACTGCCCCTGGAAGGACAGGGGGGCCCCGGAAGTGCATGCATTTTGACCTTGCTCCCCCTTTCCCAAGATCAACAAGCAGAACGAGCAGATGCACGCGCTGCTGGCCATCGCCCTCACCATGTACCCCATGCGCATCGACGAGAGCGTCCACCTCCAGCTGCGGGAGAAGTACGGCGACAAGATGCTGCGTATGCAGAAGGGTGACCCGCAGGTCTACGAGGAGCTCTTCAGCTACTCGTGCCCCAAGTTCCTGTCGCCCGTGGTGCCCAACTACGACAACGTGCACCCCAACTACCACAAGGAGCCGTTCCTGCAGCAGCTGAAGGTCTTCTCGGACGAAGTCCAGCAGCAGGCCCAGCTCTCCACCATCCGCAGCTTCCTCAAGCTCTACACCACCATGCCCGTGGCCAAGCTGGCCGGCTTCCTGGACCTCACAGAGCAGGAGTTCCGGATCCAGCTGCTGGTCTTCAAGCACAAGATGAAGAACCTGGTGTGGACCAGTGGCATCTCCGCCCTGGACGGGGAATTTCAGTCCGCCTCGGAGGTTGACTTCTACATCGATAAGGTACGAGGGGCTTCAGGCTGGTTCTCGGGAGGGACTGTGTGCAGCATTCAGCAGCAGGTTCCTGGTCAGAGCCCCTCACCCCCTGTATCCTCTCCTGGGTCGTGTGAGGACGTTGGTGAGCAGTTTCCAGGTCTTCTGTCGCTTACGTTCTAGAGAGGACAGTAGGCAATAAGCAGCAAATCACGGAGTGGATGTGACTTTGCCAAACATTTATCAGTAACAGTAATTTCATACTGCGCCAGTGGCAATATTAAACAAGGTGCTCAGTGGTTTGGAGGAGGTCAAGGTGGGCGGCTGGCCGCGTACATCTTTGGGGATAGAACATTCTGGGTGGAGGGGACAGTTACAGTGAAGATCCTGGAGCAGGCAGCAGCCCAGCATGTGGGAGAAGCTGGGGTGCGGCTGTGGTGGCCGGGCCAGAAAAGGGGGAGAGGTGTCAGGGCTGCTGGATGGCACTGGAGGATTGGACACTGAGAAGCAGGAAGAACAGGGAGGCGTGTGTCGGCCAGGGCCAGGGAGTGGATAAAGTATGGAGGAAGCTGGTGACAACGTCGTGGTCTGTTTCTTGAATCGTCTTTTCTCTTGCCCTTCTGAAATGATCACATGGCCTTCATTGAAACAAGAATTTAAAAACTGAATCCTTCCCACGATTTGATTATTCCTGACCAAGCAGAGATGCTTTCCCTGGAGCCAGACACCTGGGTCCAAATCCTCTTCAAACCTCGTCTCTGCCGTTTAGCTGAGTGACCAGGGATCAACTGCCCATCTGTTAGGTTGGGGCTAAGGACAGTCCCGTCGTCAGGGCTGTTAGAGGGATGACTTCCTGCATGTGGATGGAAAGGGCTCACAGATTCCACCAGAGAAGGATGCCGAGTCTGCGCTCGCTGCTGCTGCTGTTAGTGGATCCCCCGGCCCCCCAGTTTGTAGTAATCAGTTTTATTTTGGAGTAGATCAACACAAAAGAAGACTCGGTGTGGATGGTGTCCTCATTTGGGGCCCAAGTTACAGCATTAAACTTACATTTTTATCTCCCCCCGCTTCCTGCTGTTATTTTTACTGAATTATGTACATAGTACGTATGAGACACAGCATTGACAGAGCAACCAGCTTGTTCATGATTTCCCACTGATAGGAACAAAAAAAAAAGGTTAAAAGATCTAAGTCTCCAACTGAATTAAGCTTGGGAGAATTCCTTTCTCAATTTTGTCTTCAAGCACAAGTGTTTTGAGTTTGTTCCAAAATAAACAATAGTGTCTATAAATAGAAGGACACAGAGGCTGAGTAAATACAGCTGGAGAGTCAGGACTCGAACCAGAAGTCTGACATTACTAGACCCTCAACAAGGTGGACTGACGCAGTGGTGTAATGTCGGGGATGGTCAGGCTGGCACAGGGTAGGGCAGAATTCACATCCCTTGTTCATGAAGGCGGTTCCACAGCACTTAGCACAGCCGCCTTTTGCTCTTACCCAAGGGCCCCACTGCCGTGTCTCCTGACGCTGTGTGTCAGGGCTGCCTGTTTTAACAACTTACCGTAATGTAATGGCTTTGTGTCTGGCCGAGTTTGCTCAGCATTGGGCTGGGAATCACCAGCCACTCCTGCTTACCGCTCTGTGATGGTCCAGCCTCCTCCGCAGATGTTACAGGGCACCTTGTCCGTTTCTCTGGTGGTCAGTGTTTGGGTTGGTTTTGCCCATTACAGAGAGAACCCTTAGGCTTAGGTGGCGAGGCGGTCCGTGGTCCAGGGAGCCCTGGTGGTGCCGTTGAACCAAAAGGGTTGATGATAGTTCTGATCCACTGGCCAGGCTGTGAGGGGGAAATGAGGCCACCTGCTTCTGGAAGGTTTACAGTCTTGGAAGCTGTGAGAAGCTGTTCTGTTCTGTTCTGCTCTATTTCAGAGAGTTACTCGTCACAGTTGATTTGACAGCGGTGCTTTGATCTGGTTCCTGTTGAACCAGTTGTCCACAAACAGTATTTTGGTGTTTTTTGTTTGTTTTTAAAGTAATTATAGATGCTCGTATTTGCATAGGAAGCTCTGGTGGCCTAGTGGGTAAGGAGTTGTACTGCCAACCCAAAGACCTGCTGTTTGAATCCACCAGCTGCTCTGCATTCCCTTCCATGGGATCATCGGCCTCTGAAAAAGGTCAGAGGGTCAGGGCTGTGAGTTGGTTCCCACTCAGGAGCAGTGAGTGTTTTCGGTGTCTGCGCAGCGTTATTTCTAAAAGGAGACACGATGATGGAAGAGCGACTTCCTTTCAGGAAAAACAGGTTGAAGAACAAAGAGGATTTCATTTTCTCTCTCGTGAATTTAAGCTCAAGCTAGCTGTTTTAATGACCTGATGAGGCTTTTAGGGAGGTCGGGTGGCTGCTCTGCTAACCCACAGGTTCAAATCCACCAGCAGCTCCTCAGGAGAAAGATGGACAATCTCCTGTTCAGTTTACAGCCCGGGAAACTGGCCGCAGGGTCAGCTGTGACTTGGCTCCAACTCGGGAATTCTGAAAGCATGAAGTTGTTATGTTTTCTTAAATTAGTAAGCCAGATTCCTTGAGTTGCACTTTGTATTAAAGATCACCCACTTGCTTTGCTCCCCCATGCCCAAGACTCTTGAGGGAGAAACTCAGGGGGTGCGTTTGGAACTTGGGCTTGGACTAGGGACGGTTCAGTTCTTTGCCGTCTTTGATCTGGCGCGGGGTATTCTTCAGATCCAGTTTCTGTTTCATTCTCTTCCTGGAACTAATTTTCATAAAATATGGAGATTAATAAATTATTACTAACTAGTATTTATTTACAAAGTAATTATTAATTATTTCTTAATTTTTTTATTTTATGAGGCGTGTTTGACCTCCCTCCATGTGTCTTGCCCCAGTGTTCTGTAAAATCTTCCATGTTTACCTTCTTTTGGTCTCCTGGAAAATTTCTTTTGACCAGTCATCACAGTTACGAATGTCTCTCTTCAGTTCTTATTTCTAACTTCCTCTAGTTTTCTTTAATTTTGTACACAGTACCTTGTTTTCTTATGTGCTTGGTTATTTTTGTTACCTATGGTTCACTGTCTTTTAGTAAGTATTTGTTGATAGTCTTTGAGGTCAAGGAGAACGTTCATTCCTCCAGAGAAGACTTGCAGATGTCTGGGACCGTGGAGTCTGGTTCACCACCTCATGTCCCCAGGCCACTCAGGGAACAGGCCCAGCTGCTGCACAGGTCACCTCCTGTCTCATGGTGGGTTTCTCTTCTTTACCCCTTCTCCTTGGCGTCCTCCGCTGTGGAGACCAGGAGGAAGTTTACTCTAACTCAAACTCTGCTCTAAGGATGTAGCCCCCCAACTTTCTCCAGAGACGAACAGTCTTCTGTTAAAGGGGCCCTGACCTTAGCTAATCCTCCCAGCTCAAGTTTTTTTAAAATTTATTTTATTTCAGGGGGAGCTCTGGTGGCCTAGTGGCAAGGAGCTTCAACTACAATCCCAGAGGCACACGGTTCGAATCCACCAGATGCTCTGCCGGGAAAAGGAGGAACAATCTCCTCCTGTACCAGTCAGATCTGATTTGACGGTACACGCACACAAAAATAAAAAAAAATTTAAAAAAAAATTTATTTTATTTCATTATTTTTGTGTGTGTACCATCAAATCAGATCTGACTGGTACAGGAGGAGATTGTTCCTCCTTCTCCAGCAGAGCGTCTGGTGGATTCGAACCGTGCATCTCTGAGATTGCAGTTGCAGCTTCTTGCTGCTAGGCCACCAGAGCTCGCCGCAGCTCAAGTTTTTGAGGGTTCAGAAATGTCCACAGGTCAGAAAGGCCCTCCAGGATCCTATTTGCCTTCGAATAGTTCTTTATTCTCTTTCCAGCTCTTAGATATTATTCTCTTGGCAGCCCTTACAAGCTTTAGAGAGGTTTTAAAAAATAAATTTTTCCCTGTGTTTTTAGATCATGTTCACTTGCATAATCTATTACTGGGAATAGAATTTTTATTTTTTTTAAAAAAAGATAGGGTTTCCATTAACTTTAATGTCACTGTTTTGTTTCTTTATATGAGTGGAAGTTTACTATTACCTTGGCTTTTCATTCAGTCATTCATAGATGTTTTCTCTTAGGTCATTAATTATAACTAATTACTGTAATTAATTACAGTATCTAGTAAACCCCCTATTGTATATTGCCTTTCACTAACTTAGTGATTTATTAATTTTTGGTACCTTCTGCTTTCTTTTCCGTCTTTGATAACCATTAATTTGAGTTAATATACAATGGAATTAAATGTACAATTCATTGGTCATTAATACTTTCACAGTGTTGTACAGCTGTCACCACTGTCTAATTCTAGAACATTCCATCCCCAAAGAAACTCTTTCCTCATTGGCAGTCACTCTGATCTCCCTCCCTCAGACCCTAAAAATTAATCTTTCTCGACGACACTTAACAACAACAACATCCTCCTGGGCTTCCCTATTCATACATTTTCTTTAAATGGAATAACCGTTTACTTGTCATAACTTCTACATATTTTACCTGTTGTGGTTTGTATTTCTCTGTGTGCTCTATTCTTTATGTGTCCATTTATGAACTGATGGGCTTTTGAGTTGTTTCTTCTTTCAGGTATTAGGAATGATGCTGCTGTGAGCATAGCATACAGCTTTGTTGTGTAGACGTACATTTTCCCGTCTCTCTGGTCTTTCTACCTGGGAGTGGAGTTGGCTGGGTCACAGGGATCACTTCCCTTTCAGCCACATCTGGCATCAGCAGTAATAGCCTGCATACCACAGCCTCTTCTGCAACCAACTAGAATTTCTACTGGTTCCCTGTCGATTCCAGTCACTTTAAGAGATCTTCAATAAGATTTTACTTGCATGTGATATTAATGATATTGTTACGTAATGTCCACATTCTGTTGGATGACTTATTTTTTTTTTTTTGGATGACTTATTTTTCAATGAGAATGAATGTGGATCTCTTTTGTTCAGTTGATCAGATTAAAGAAAACCATTTTCAATATAGGTTGCATC